AGCACGGCATGGCAGGGTTGTCCAAGGAGCACCCAGGACGCTGGGGATGGGGGCGTGGAAGGATGAACTGCCCAAAAGCTCCCCAGGGGGATGAAATCCTGTGCTGCAGCCTGGCCTGCTGAGGAGGGATGTTGGTAGCGCTCCATTTGCCTGCTCTGAAACCAGCCCAGAAGGAAAGCCAGAGCGGTGGTGTGCTATGTTTGGTTTGGGTTGGAGTTTGGGGAAATTTGTCAGATTTTCCTTTCCGAACAGTGCTCTGGATGCTGAGACTGAAAATCTAATTGGCAGCTTCCCAGCCTTCATCCCCGCAGCCGGTGGGGATGGATAACCCCTGCTGTGACACCGGTGTCACAAGTATTTGGGGTATTTGTTTGATCCTGGAGAAATCGCAGACCTCAGCTGTGTTTTCTCATTAGTATCATAGAATCTTTTAGGCTGGAAAAGACCTTTAAGATCATCAAGTCCAACCGTTAACCTAGCACTGCCAAGTCCACCACTAAACCATGCAGCCACCCCGTGGGCCTCTGCAGGAGGTGGAATCCTTTAGACCAGGCGGGCTGGTCCTTGCCAAGACAGGGATGCTGCCCACTGCAGCCTGCATGTGGTGTCTGGCCGCAGGGCTGCACGCGTCTGCACGAAACAGCCTCAGTTCAGGGGAAAAAAAGCCCTAATTTTTGCGGTGGGGCTGCATTCACAAAAAGAACTGCAGGACTCATGGACGGGGCTGCTGTGGTTGGAGGTGAGCAGATGAGGTCCCGCTGGTGGCTGGAAGCTGTTCAGCTGGCCCCAGCACACCTGTGGGCAGGTGCATTTAGTGAGAAGTGAGAAAATATAAAATGTCTATCTCTAGCTGCTGCTTAACGTCTCTGTAGACACTTCTGAAGTGGGAATTATGTGGTGTTGTACAACGAGAAGACATACCCAGGCTTGCTCCTAACACTAGGCTCTCGAGGAACCTGCCAGGGGCTTCTCCCACTGCTGTCCAAACCGTTCCTAGGGTCCCTTATTGTCTTTTCCTTGCTGGCCACATGGTTTTCATATGCCCTTTTTGCGTTCCCCCCCGTGTGTATCCCTGTATCCCGCTGTCCCCAGAGCCTGGGATGCTCTGGCAGAGGCAGTGACGTTTGCCCTCCCACCTCTTTCCACCTGCAGCCCGAGGAGAAGCAGAAAGCCTCAGCGGCGTTTGCCCAGCTCCGGGCTGCCATGGGCACGCTGGGCATCACGGCGGAGGAGCAGGCGGCCGTCTGGCGCATCTTAGCCGGCATCTACCACCTGGGTGCTGCTGGGGCCTGTAAAGGTAAGGGGGGCTCCTGCCTCTCCTTTCCTCATACCTCGTCTTGGTGCCGGGGGTTAGAGGAGGGTGAGAAAGCATGTCCCAGCAGCGTTCGGTGCTTGGGCGTGTTGCACACCAAGAAGTGTTGGGGAGCAATGCTCGCCCGGAGGCTGTTGCACGGGCGGTTGCTCCGAGCTCTCGGTTGCACGCGGAGGAGCTGCCTCGAGCTGGGCGATGCTGCATGCTGGTGTCCTGCCCCGTGGGGGCTTCTGGAGTGGGTCCGTCCTGCAGCCATGGGCGGACAGGACAGGGGCTGCAAGGCGTCGCCTTGTGCCAGCTCTCTGGGAAGGACCGGGGTAGGTAACTCGTTTGTTGGCACATTGTCCCCAATGACACTGCGAAGGGACAGCTTCAGGTAGCGATAATTTTATCATCTCTTGAGTGCCTAATACAGTAACTGAATTATAATAGGATGAGTCTGGATGAAGATTGTATTTATAAAGACTTTGTTAATACAGGCATATAGAAATTGCCTTATCCCTTATAAATTATTTTAAGATGTGCTCTAACCCGTTTTAGAGACAGCCACATTGATTTACACACTTCAATTTATGAGGGCTGCATAAAGGCTGCTATAAACTAAGCCATAGACATTTATAAATGTCTCTGCAACATGTCATAACACATCTTATGGTAATTTATGCCATTAATAATTTATTAATTATTTTAAAAGGATGAATGCTGTCGTCACAGCGAGTTCTCTTTCTCCTTCTCTCCGGTGTTCTCTTTCCTCATCTCTATCTCCCCTAATGCCCTTCCAACTTTTAAAAAAATGACCCTGCTGCCTCAGGCTGAAGTGTGGGATAAGGCTCTTGGCAAAAAAAAAAAAAAAAAAAAAAAGTCCTTCTGCCTCGAGAGTTTTCAGGAGAGCAGATTTTGGAGATGCGTCTCATTTTAAGAGTGACCAGCACAAAGGCAGATGGAGGGACGGTTACTGTGTTGGCCACGGAGGGTTTGCTGGGTGAGCTGAGCTGGTCTGCTCAAACTTACTGAACGTTCTGTCCCAAGCATCCCGCAAGTCAGTCTGAGGTCAATTGAGCGCTATATTCAACAAATCTTGTCGCAATTATTTCAGCATGAATAGGAACGTTAATAGCGGGCCCAGGCGGGGCTTGTGACTTTGGAGCTGACTTGGGTACGGGATTAACAACCAGAGCATGTCTCAGCATCACTCACTCTGGTATTGATTCCCCCATCGTGCGTCAACAAAAGGGGAGAAATGAAAGGAAATATGGATAAAAAATGGATCAAAGCTGGATGGAGCAAAAGTCTCAGTGGGGGCGATGACTCTTTTAATGTGGTTAAACCTGTCTGCTGATAGCCATCTCTTCCCCTCCCCTTTCCTGCACTTTGAAGTTGTATATTAAAAATCCTCTCCTTGAAATCTCACCAAAGGGAGCCTCTTCACTGGTTTTCCGCTTGCATTCAGGAGTGCAGCCAGATGCTGCAGCGACTGTCGGAGCTACCGCCGTCCCTGTGACGGTGGCCCCGGCACGTGCCGTGCTCCAGCTGCCAGGCGCCAGCACAGGTTAAATGCACCTTTTTTTCCTTCTGCTGATGGCTATCATCTCGTCACAAATTCAGTTTGTCCAGGAATGAAACAGGAGCGAATAGCACCACCTCTTTCTGGCTGAGAGTGGAAAATACGTTTGCAGCTAGAAAAACACAGAGAAGAAAAGGCTGAATTTCAAAAGCCTGCTCTGTCCCGGTGTCAGCGTTTCCCATTGCCTTTGAAACGTGTTACAGCAGCTCTTTTTGTGAGAAAGCAGCCTGACAGCCAGAGGCCAGCAGGGCATCCTAGGTACCCATTCACCTAAGTGCTTCCAGTCCCCTTTGTGGGCTGCAGAATATTACATATTTTCATTTATTCATTGCCTCTTTAACCGGGAAGGAGGTTTCGGGCGCAGCTGGAGGTTGGCATTCAGCTTGCTCTCAAGCTGTCCATTTTGCTGACTGTTATAAAAATAAAGCATCGTGGCTCCCTGCTTTCTGCGGGCTTCCCACCGCGTGCCTTTAATAGAGGCAACTGGGTTTCCAGCGGCTGCAAGTCACTGAAGTCCTCCCGGTGCTGCAGGCGGGTGCACGCCATGGGCGGGAGCCAAGTGTGGCTCCCCCTGCACCCCCCGGTGCACTGGGCAGAGGCTGCTGCAAAACCAGCGGCCTGAACCCCTTGGATGGAGGAAAACCATAAAGGCAGAAGTGCAGGAGCGGGGGCTGGAGCTGCTGCTCAGGTGGGGGAGGCTCCGAGCCCTCCCAAACCCTGCACAGGTCAGCAGCACTGGGGCAGCATCCTGCATCCACCGCCCTCCCGCATCACCGCACGGATGGGGCTGGTTCCCCGCAGCAGCAGCCCCGACGGCGGAGGGATGGGAGCACCCAGGCAGCCGGGGGGGATTTTGGGGTCGGGTAGGGGAAACCCCCAGCAAGCAAGGGGG